TCCTATCCTTATTCCTGTTACTATTACTAGTACTATTACGACTACTATTATTATTATTACTACTACTACTACTACTATTACTATTACTATTACTATTACTATTACTATTGCTATTACTATTGCTATTACTACTACTAACACTATTACTACACTATTACTACACTTTTACTATTACGATTACTATTACTGTACTATTACTATGATTATTACTATTACTATTACTAACACTATCACTATCAAAAGTACTATTACTATTATTACTATTACTATTACTAGTACTAGTACTAGTACTAGTACTAGTAGTAGTAGTAGTAGTAGTAGTACTACTACTACTACTATTACTACTACTACTACTACTAGTAAGGGTTTCGGCTGGAGACTGAGCCTGAGGTAGAGTCCTTTTGTGCTGCGAGGGTTCATGGCTGTGTCCTGGTTCCTTCATTTTCTGATTTTACAGACACTCTGCCTTATGAGCTCTGACGTGTACAACCAGCCGCAGGGGTCCCAACTCCCCTGGCCGACGACGAATGAACGTGACCATGCTAATAGGCAAGCGTCGGTAAACCTGAGGGTTGGAGTTAGCACCACAGCTGCTCCGGGAGCCTCTATTTTGGAGGCGAAAAGGACTGGACAGGGATTTTCGATCCGGACTCTCTGGAATAACAGTCGAAAGCGAGCGTACAGACGTGCGCGCAGGCGTGCTGAGCAGCAAGGCGGTACATGGTACCGTGGCAGGTGGCACAGCGCCTCATCGCTGGGAGTTACTACAGTGGAGGGTGGCAGCTCTACGACACCCACGGTGAAGCCGCCCCCGGGAAACCGGACCTTGCAGCGCCTCTCCGTCCTCAGCTACAACCTGGGCGGGGTGACGCCCGAGGTCTACGACACCTTCAGGGAATGGTTGCACGGCTCCTGTCAAGCAGATATTGTGCTGCTGCAAGAAACCCACTGGGGGTTTGGTCGCGAAGACAACCAATGGCTCCTGGACGACTGGATTGCCATCACCTCGGCGGACTCGTCCAGTCGATTTTCGGGAGTTGCTGCCTTTTTGAGACGGAGCAAGTTCCAGGAGGATGCCATCAGTCGCTGCACCTGGATCCCGGGTCGCCTCTTGCACATCAGATGTCAGGGGCACCGAGCGGTGCTGGATATCGTGGTTGGCTATCAATGGGTATGGCAGGAAAAGGATGCCCATAAGGTCGCGCGCAAGCGCGCGACTTTCTGGACGAAGCTGGGATGTTTGTGCCAGGGTTTACCGACGAGACACCTCTTGATCATGGGTGCGGATTTTAACTCAACTGCGCGCCCAATCTCGGGCTTGGTAGGAAGGGGACTGCACCCCACAACGCGAGCGCACGACCTGGACTTCGAAGCGCTACTGCTGGAGCAAAAGCTGGTCCTGCTCAACACATGGACCTCGGCGACTCCGAGACTCAGTCGTACCTTCCTGCATGGAACACAGTCCTCCCAGATTGACTTTGTGCTCACGCGGCGTCGACACGCCGACCTGGAGGCCAAAACGGCTCATCCCACCACTCTGGATTTGGTACCATGGCGCCTCGGGCCCAAGCACCGGCCCCTTACTTGCACTCTGCCTTGGGTTCCTGGTTGGTTTCTGGCCCCTAAGCACCACAAGCCCCTTAGGTTTTCCCTCCAAGCCCTTCGCCTCAGCATACAAATGCAGGACACCGTGGCGCAGGAGTTTCAAAGGCATGTGAGTCACGAACTTTACCGCCTCCCGACTAGGGCTAGTGTACAGGATCTCAACGCAGCCATTCTCCCGATCTGCCGTAAGTTCTACCCAACGACCCGAAAGCCCCAGCTTGCTGATTTCGGACAGGCTCAGGTTGTTGTTTCGGTTCGGAATATGTGGGCAGCACATCGTGCACTGCGCCACCATAGAGGGTATGTTTCCTTACGTACAGTTATGGCAGCGTGGCGGAGGTTCGTTGAGTTTCAGAGAGCCAGCAAAGCTTTGCGGCGCGCCAGTCGGCAAAGACGTCGAAACTGGCTGGAGCATCAGGTTACCCTGGCTGAGGCAGCAGCAGCTAAAGGAGATATCGCAGGGGTGTATCGCACCATTAACCACATTGCTCCCAAGAAACGCCGTGATAAGGTCCGTATTAGGTCTGTTGAAGGGCACATTCTCTCCGTGGAACAAGAGTTTGCCGAAATCTACAAATATTTCTCTGATGCCTTTCACAGGGAAGATGCTTTCGTTCTTCAGACGTCGAGCCTCAAACTTGAGTTTACTGAGGCGGAGATCTTGTCTGCCATTACTGAACTCAAGCCTGGGAAAGCAGTCCCGACCACCAGCCTCCCTGCTGATGTCTGGAAGTTATGTTCGGAGGGTTTTGCTACTCGGTGTCAGCAGATCATCAATGAGGGCTGTAACGAGGGGTTTCAATTTCCTTCAGAAGCCACTGACTGCTTGCTCTCGCTGCTTCCCAAGCCGGGCCGGCCGTCACGACGGCCTAAGGACCTTCGTCCGTTGGGCCTGCAAGATCCGTGCTCCAAGGTCTTAGCAATTGCTCTTAAAGCCCGCCTCTTGCCCATAGTAAGTAGTTTCCTTGCCAATCGACCGCAGTACGCTTATTGCCCCAACAAGGCGATTGATGAGGCCATCAGTAGGGTAGCCAGCCACTGTAGTCGAGTAAGGGAGCGACTCCGTCGGGGCACTCTGAGTGTGCATGCAAAACGCTCAGGGCAGGTAGAGAGCACTTGCTTTGGAGGGCTCATGCTCTCGTTGGACCTCAGTCGCGCATTTGATGAATTGCCGCGCAGAGCCCTGTTGGCCTCGTTGCAGCATGCTGGGGTGCCGGATGTGTTGTGCGCCGCCATACTCTCCCTTCACGAAACCTGCAAGTATACTGTAATGCATGGCTCCTGCAAGGGCTCCTTTCGTATGCAGAAAGGGGTCAGACAGGGGTGTGCTCTGTCTCCCCTACTCTACTCCCTGTACACCTGCTGGTTATATGACACCATAGCAAGCCGCACTTCGGCGGACTGGGCATCCCGGTTCATCACACTGTTTGCGGATGATTCCCACATTTCCTTTGAGGTTAATAGCCTGACTGAGCTTAAGTTTGTCGTTCGCGCTATTAGGGTGGTCTTTGCCCTCTTCAAGGAAACAGGAATGATGGTAAACGCCAGCAAGTCCAAGGTGGTCATAGGTCTCAAAGGAAGTGCCGCGCGTCGCTGGCTGAGACGCAGGTACTGTCGAGTGGCCGGCGAGCATGCTGTCAACTTTGGCACCCCGCACTTTCCGATTCTAGTGCCTCGTGTTGCCTCTTTTGTGCATTTAGGTGTCGTGGCCTCATATGGAGCCTTTGAGAGCCTTACGCTGGCGCACAGACTCAAAGCTGCCCGGCAGAATCGACAGCGCCTGCTGCGTGTTCTGCACAATCCGAGCTTTTCAATGCGGCATCGCGTCCGGCTGCATGCCGCCTGCATCCGCAGCACATTGCACTACGGGTTGCACGCGGTAGGATTGACAGACGCAGTGCTGCGGCGCCTCGAGGCCTTTGATGCCAGGGCCCTTCGGGGCATTGCTCGTTCACCCGTGCATCTTACTAGAGAAAGCAATCAGGCACTTAGGAAACGCCTTGGTATCTGTTCTCCACTCGAAGCCTTGCAGCGTCTCCTTAGGGGTAGGGTTCGAAGATGCACCGATGCGGGTGGTCGTGCATGGTTTGTCCAGCAGCTTCAGCGGCTTGAAGCAGTCAGCCCAAGTGAGGAGGT